AAGGACAATCAACAGGGTTGCATTCCCCCTGTCTCTCTCCCTGCAAAAGTCATCAAACAGGGTGACCAAGGTAGTCTTCATCCCCGTCCCAGACCAAGGGCTGAAACCTAGTTGATATTGATCTGGAAAATCTGTTTCATCCAAGAGTGCCTGAAGCTTTATGGCTACCACCTGCTCCATCACCTTGCCCAAAAATGGGAGGTTTGCGCTGGGTCAGTAATTTGTAACTATCGCGGAGTCCAGGTTCAGCCTTTTAAGGAATGGTCTAATTACTGCCTCCTTCAAAGAGGCAGGGATCACTCCCTCTCTTAATGAGACGTTGACAGCCTCCTGGACCCAGGACCAAATCCCATCCACTGATCTTCCAGCCAACAAGTGGACAAGTGGTAAAATGAACAGAGCCAAGCATCTTGTGCATATCCTATCTTTAGTAACTGTAACTCATTCATGACATGACATGAGAATGGTGTACTGGACACATCTAATGATACTGCTACAAAGGCAAATACAAGCTCTTGATGAATCTGAGCAATTTTTCCTTCAAAGTGCACGGCAAATTTGTCACAGTGAGCCTTTGTGGGCTCTGGGGCCTCATCCGATGAACCCAACTGCAGGAGGTCCGGGACCACTTGAAGTAACTTAGCTGGACAGCACTGAGAAGAAGCAGTAGAGGCGGCAAAAACCTACCTTTTCCCACCCTTATAGCCACAGAATCGGCTCAATAGAGCTCTGAGACACATTCGATCAGACTTGCTGCGATATTTTCTCCATCTGTGCTCCACCTGCCTCCCCACGTGCTTCATCACCCACAGTTCAGCAGTATACCAAGGCACTGAACAGGCTTTGCCAGAAGGGAGAGGTGTGATTGTGTCAACCATCTGAGCTATCTCCCTATTTCAAAGGGTGACTTGGGCTTTGACAGGAGTGGCCACCATGTCAATCAGATAATCCCCCAAAGCCTTCTGGAAACCATCCGGATCCATCAGACTCCAGGAGTTGATCATTCTAATAGATCTTCCAGCCGTGCAGAGGGGAAACGGGGATGACAATCTAAACTTGACCAGATAATGGTTGGACTATGACCACAGGGTAGATGTTAGCCCCTCCGCATTCCCCTGACCTGTTGAGACCAGGTCCAGAGTGTGACCCTTCTCATATGTTGTGCCAATGACATATTGAGACAGCTTTCTGGTTGTCATGGCAGCCATGAAGTCCTCAATTTCCTCGGATAAGGCAGCCTGGGCGTGGAAATTGCGGTCCCCCAGAGCTAACATCCTGTTAGTTCCAAGTCTGAGATCACTTCTGTCATCTGAGCAGAGTGGTCAGTATGTTAACAGAATCCCTAATCTGTTATTGCCCAGCAAACAGTACAGACACTCCAGACCTTCACTCAAGGGGACACAGAGTCTGGCAAAGTAGATTGTATCCTTAAAGATTTTTGCTGCCATCCCTTCCTGGCCCTCCAGGCAATGTTAGTATTGGATCAAGTATTCGGGGGTGGGGGCGTATCTGGGAGAGAGGGACCCTACCTTCATTTCCCACCCAGGTCTCAGTGATACATGCCAGGTCAGCCCCCTCATCCAGAATCAAATCACGGATGAGGGCAGTTTTATTGCATACTGACCTGGCATTCAACAACAACTCCAACATAGCCAAGGGTTGACTAACGTGGCTATCTGGCACCCTCCGGGTAGGGAGAGAAACAAGATGGGATAGGTATTAAACATCTACCCACTTTTCTCCGGCATTGGCATGTTCGGCCCCTGCAACCATATCTCCCCATGCCCGTCACCACTCCAGTAGCTGCACCCACCTGCTCCTTGTTTCCCCATAGATCCATGACTAGACTCTCCTCCCCTGACAGGAAGTCCCGCCCTTCACGTGCAGGTGTAGGCATACAGCTGGTCTCCCTGCACTCGTTGTGGACTCTGACCCTGTGACAACAGCAGGCAGGCAGGCACTGCGGAGCAGTGGGATGCCTGGTGCAGCAGGCACAGTGGCGACAGCATCAGCAGTTGTTCCTGAACACTGAATCAGAGCAATGGAACAGGGCTTGTGTCTTCTTCAGGTGCAAAATGGAATAGGGACGAGCAACAACAGCCATTGTGATTGACCAACTATCTGGAGCCTCTGCATCTGCCATATTGTACAGATACTACAAGCCTAGCCTTATGCCCTTACCTCATCATTCACTTTTTTGCTTAATGCTTTATACATTGCTGTTCATCAGTATGGTCTCTGTGCGTATCACATATGGGCTCTGTGTCTACACAGAACCACATTTAGGAAGAGTCCAAAGCTGAGGAATTTCTGACAGGAGCCCCTTCCCGCTGTCCTCATTCCCTCAATTCCTCTTCAACCATCATCAGCTTCTAGTCTTTTTGAGGCAGTGATTTTTTCTTTATTTTTCTTTACTTGGCACTCAGTTAATATATTATTTATTTTTGTTTTCCTTATATGAATGAGTATTGTGTTTCTGCAAGAGGACTCCTAGGGCCCTGAAGACCCTTTTTTGTAAGTGAGTTAGGTGTGGTAGTAAACTTCCATTTAGAGATGGAGGGCATTCTCTCTGTCTTCTTTGCATGGGAAAGGCTCATATTGTTGAGGCTTGTCCGCATTGCCTGGCTTCACCAGACTGGCAAGATGGAATCATACTGATTGACTTAGAGCAGAGCTTTGGAAGAACTTTTCCCTACTCCTTCTGCTCTGCCTACAGAGAGAAAAGGGGCCTCGGCCTCAGGCCATACTGATCCCCTAACTCCAGATAGGTCGCTTACTTAAACAGCAATGAAAAATTGGCAAAAACTGAGATCTCATATTTCTGACCTGCAGAAAAAGAAAAGCCTTCTCTGCTGCTGAGACTTATCTTTGGACTCTGTATAGTCTGGCGATTCAGTGCCTTTTACCTCAATCTCGAACTGATCAAATTCAGTTCCTATTGCCACTTCTGAACCAACCTCAGGTGTCTTAACACATCCATTAAATCCTTAAGAGGAACTTTGAATGTTGGTGAAGCTGATCGGTATGGCCAAGAACACTCGCACTTCCGTTAATGTCAAAGATCATTTCAGTTCGCCATGTTCTGAACAGCAGTGACAATCTGATGGGTTGATACCATTGAGACGGGCCTATAAATGGAGTGACTGCGAGCTTAGTACAGTAATCCACACTTTTATTATTCTGCCTTGGCTCTCTCTTCCAGATTGCCAGCAATGTATGCCTGCCCCTCTCTACAGGGCACTTCAATTGTTCAAGAGATAGCTGGTTTGATAAATCCCATTCCACAGTAATCTCCACCAGGCCTGTCCCCTAGACACACACTTATGCATTTTATGACAGAAGACTCATTCTGACTCTGTGATGTCTGCCTCTCTGGCACCTTTGACCTCATCCCTGAACTCTACAATAGATGACCTTGCTTCCCTATCTGAAGTCACGGACCATTTTACGAAACAGATTCTGTTCCAATACTGAGAGTGACATGATCTTTAGTGATAAAGACCTGGTGTTTGATGTTATTTGTGCGGAGACCTCAGCCATGGCTCCAATTCTGTTTCTATCTACCCTTCAGACTGTGAACCATTCTCAGAAAGCACAATCCTCAATGGTTTCAAACTTGAGGTGGCTTGAAAACATGTACAGAGTTCAAGAAAAGGACACTGATTCTCTCCCCCCCCCCCCCACTTTCCTTCAAACTCATTATTACTGAATCTTCTCAAGGCTGCTCAGAGAATGGCACTCATCACTCATTGAGAGGGTTGCCAGCTAGACCTAGTGGACCACAGAATTAACTCTGGCTGCACTAATGGTCCATGTGGCAAACGATCAGCTGTTCTCGTGGGGGAGGGGGATGTGTGCCACATGCAGCTACCTCCCTGATGATAAAAAGGGGCTTTCGAACAGAGGCCTTGACACTCTCACATGAGCAAATGAATACCAGTTCCCACCACATCTTTATAGTGGCTCCATTCAAGTCCAACAACAAACCACAGCTTCTTTTCAAAAACAAGCTTGTCTGAGCATTCAAGCACATGCATCTGCTTTTGAACAATTCCCCATGATAACTGAGCATCAGGAACTGCGATTTGTGCTGTGGTCAGTTAAAACAAACCTCTGGTTACTGAGGTTCATACTTGTAATGGCAAACCATGATTGTCACTATGTCTGAATTGGGCCTGTGCTGCTAAGTTTTTCTTCCTTTGCAAACCACATGATGCTATACATTAATATGTTGTTGAGGTTTATATTTTAATGGGAATCACAGATCCCAACACATGCTTTTAAGAATGAATTCATTTTTTTCAAGCAGATCATTTATATTATCAATACTGGGAGAATACTGGGTTGAGCAGAGAGAAAGGGAGTATAAAACTGTTGAAAATAAAATTGTATGAAGATTGATAGTTGTTATTTCAAGCCAGTGAAGTTCCTTTGTTTTAAAATTGTTTCCTGTAAAAATACTTTAAAGATAGTGTAGTGTAGTGTAGTATAGTGGTTAAGACTGCAGAACTGGGGTGATCTGGGTTGTAGTCCCTGCTCAGCCATGGAACCAGCTGAGTGACTTTGGACCAGTCACAGACTATCAGAGCAACCTACCTCACAGGGTCATTGTTGTGGGAATAAGATTGAGAACAGCAGGAGGAGAATGATGTAAGCTGCTTTGAGTTCCTTTGAAAAAAGAGGGATATAAATCTAGTAAATAAATAAATATGTGTCAGTTTAGTACTTAAGTGCATCAGACTAGGCAAGTCAACTGCACTTCATTCCTCCTCAATTGTGGTTTACTCCCACAATGTATATTTTAGAAAATGAATTTTAACAAACGCTTGATTTGTAAAAGTTATATTTTAAGAAAATGAATATTTAGCTTTTAATTGTATTCTGAAAAAAAAATTGTTTGGTTTGTCGAGCAATTGCTTTAAGGGGATGCAGACTTTAAAGGGCCTTATTCCTGATGTGATTGTTGTTTCCTTTAAAAAACCCCCTCTGCTTTTTCCTAGGTGAAGCTGCTCTAAGAGGAGAACCCAGAATGCAGTCCCTCCCATTATCTGCTGCTGTAACCAACCATAGGACAGGGCCACCCCCTATCAGTCCTTGCAAGAGGAAGTTCAACATGGACCAAGGAGAAGATGACCTAGACTGTGAAAATGAGCATGTCTCTAAAATGAGTCGAATGTTCAGTCCCCATCTGTAAGTATTTAAATTTTTTTTTGAATAAACTAATGTATGCTCTTACTGTTTTTGCAGTGGATTGTGTATCATTATTTTTTATCAAAATGTTATTTTGTTTTGTAAAGTGGTAATCCAGTATGTATCACAGTGATGTAGCACAGGGTGGAACCAGTTGCGTAGACAATGGTCACCAAAAATGATATCCTTAGGTTGAATTGTTCTCCTTCACTTTTGTAATGTGTAATTATACTATGGTGTGTGCTTCTTTCCTGCTCAGAGATGTGGGACAAAAAAATGCTAAGTGTTGTGATAGCGTTTGTCATGTGTAGCAACATTCGACATCATAGGTTGCTGCTATAAATTAGGAAACTGGAGTAAAAGAATCTAACTCAGGGACACATTTTGCAGTGTCAGCCCCATGATTTCCGTAATGTGTGGTTACAAATCAGTTAAATACTATGAAAAGTTGCTGTTCCTTTCTAGTGTGCTGTTATGATCGCTATATATTCAAATCTTTATGCACCAGATCGGAATCAGAACAGTTGCAGATCAATAATAATGTGTGGTGAACTCCTGCTTTTTTCATTTTTCAAGAAGCAGAAAACCTGTAAAACAAAATGCAGATATATTGTGTATTACGTTTTCCCTGCACTGCTTTAGTTCAACTTGTTCCTACAGACAGGACATACTTAGGTATGTTTAAAAATACTATCTGTTTGCTTTAACCGCCCCCCCCCCCCCCCCAATCTCCTATGCTTTAAACCTCCCCACCCCGAGAGGGGAAAATATTTTGGTTTTTGTTTTGTTTTTAGGCCAGGGAATTTTGGAACAGCTGCTCAGCAGACTGCACACCAGCAGCTGCTCCAGCTACAGTTGTTGTTAAACATTAGTTAATGTGCTTCCATCCTGACATGCCAATGGTGTGTTTTACTATGCAGGTAAAGTGTAGGTTGCTGGAGAGGGAGAAAGCTGTTTCTATCTGTTTTTTGTTCTTATTGCTAAGAATATAACTCTGGCATGAAGCTGCAGCTGAGAGAATTCCTTTCATTTCTGTCTAGAGGAAGTGATTGGAGTATTTCAGTCAGAGCCAACTTGATAACTATGTACTTTTCCCTGCTGCCTCAGCTCAAGAAACACGCTACATTCCACACATTCCTCTCAGCTTTGGATTGTTGTGTTCAGTCATAAGATGTGGACTGAGGCATTTTATCCTCAAATAAATCACAGGAGTGTTAGTCAGAGCTCTGCAGACTGCCGGCTTGGAATTTGTTACAAATAAGAACTCCTGTACCAACGCAATTGAAACTCATAGTGAATTATTGCTTTTTGTTTTTAAAAATATTTTTTTGCATACTATGATGATGCCCAGTTAAATTGGTCTTTAAAGTAAGATTTATGATTTTTGGCAGAAGATGATGTACTATTCTGTTTCTCTTGTTTCAACAGCTATGTAACTTTATACAGGAAAAATTAAGGCATGGTCTAAAGATTACATAATTTTGGGAGTGGTGGGAAGATGTGTGACTTCCAAACTCACAAAGCAGTGGAAATAAAATGCAACTAGTAGTTATACAGTGTGTTTGATTTAATGCAGATACCTGGATTTATGTGGGTTAAAGTACTAGAGTTGTGTGTCCACTGCAAATGCACCGCTCTAGAAACCCTAAAATATAACTTCCCTCTAAAATGGTTAATTTAAATTTTATTTAGATTTAGCATAATGCATTCTTGTGTATGGAATAAGTAAAACTTCAGGTGATGACAGATTGATCCACTATCACAGAATTACTGTTTTGATCTGTTCCTTCTCTAAGTGGTGATTATAAAAGCATTGGTGGATAAAGAAAAAAAAAATAGTCTACTAAAAGCTGAAATATGCCTTCATATTTCTGTACTATTTTGGAGGGTGCAGGAAATGGGAATTTCCATACTATTCTTTCTTTAGAAGAAATAAGAAGTAAATGCACTGATCAAATAATTTAGCGAGCAAAAATTTTCACATGAATTATTTGTTTTCGTTTCCAAAGTAGAAAAAACCCTTTTGAAGACTTGTTTTCTGCTAGTCTTCTGCTTTTGTGTGCCTCCACACTTGTGTCAAATTTCTATTGCAGGTGTGGTTTGCCATATGTCCATACTGTGGTAAATCATGCATATGACCAAATTGTATGTTTCATTGCTATGATATATATCCTGTGTTGCAGGGTGCAACAAGTTTAATGAGACAGTCCAGTCTGTGATCAGACTTCTTTATCACTGAACAACAGATAAGGATAAAACACTTTGCAACCCCAGAAGAACACAAATTGAATAAACATGTATTTTGATGTCACTTGTGGGAAAATTCTTTACACAGTGTCCCGAATACAGTTATCTAATAGAACATATCCAGTGTGAGAGTGGCATACAATGTTCTGGCATCCAGAATGTCTGGAAGATGGTTTTCTCCCCTTCATTTTTATCTGAATTTTTTTCTATGCAAATTTGGATACATATTTAGTTTGTATTGAGAGAGGAGTGATTCATGGTAGCCCTTTGGGACTACACAAGAAAAATGGAAATAATCAAAGCCACAGGTGTGTTTTTGATGCCATGCCCTTGTCAGGAACTAGATGTGTAGGACCTAGAAAATTGCTACCATGTGGGCCGTACAGCCTTTGCCCCCAGAAATGCAAGCTGTAAAACTTTAATGACTTCTGTAAAATATCAGTGAAATTAAGTTGAGGAAGAATGATATAATCTCATACGAATGAATGATTTAATCATTATGAATGCTGAATGTTAAATTACCTTCAAATTTAATTTTGGTGAGGAGTCAGGGAGCTCATGCCAACTATCATCTTTAATTGTGGGATGGTTGCACCCACTTCTAAAGATGCATCTGGTTTATCTTGATATGGCTTCTGTTTTATGTAGAAAGTGTCTGGATGTTGCAGTGCAAGTGTAACGCTAATGAAGTGTTGCCCCTTTAAGTAGAGGTCTCAGGTCTGACCTATGTTGTGTGGGTTTCTTGTTTGTCAGGCTGGAGGTATTTTCTCATTTTCACAGTTCAGATGAAAACAAAGGCCTCCTTATCCTTGCAGGGAGCTCTTGAGCTGACATCAGCCTTTTCCCAGCAGGCATCATTTCTGCCTTAAGAGTCCTTGCACTGAGCTGGAAAGCTTGATAATTTCTCCTTGAATCATTTCCTTTGCCAAGTAACAAATAAAATGAGCAAATTTCAAAAGTATCAAAAAGTTAAGAAAGTCGGGGGTGGGGGAAAGAACAGCCTGGTTTTCTTGTTTAATTCATCTACAGAGCTTGTAAATAACAGTCTTTATCCTGAATTGCAGCAAGAAGAAAGAGCAGTCTAGCCATCCTTTCTGCAGTATTGTAAACATATTTGGCAGCATTGATTTTTGTCTTCAGGACCCTTACTAAGCAGAATTGTGCCAAAGTAGACTGTTTTGTTATGATCTGCATTGCTGAGATTCTACCTTAAGCGGTTGGAATCTTTTTATTTATTTATTGGTAACATTTTACATACAGTTCAGTATTTTAAAAATAAACAAGTGGGAAGCTGCAACATTTTGCATAACTACTTTAATGACTCATTAGGGAGAGGATTCAGGAATCCTTCAGTTTTGTCTGGATTCTTGTGCTACAGTTGACCAATTTACAACATAGTCTTTAGTTTTAACCTTTTCTTCAGAGAACTAATGAAATCTTGGAGGTGATCTGAACCTAGCAATGCACTCTAAGGATGATGAGCATCAAAGAGCCAACATTCTGGTTTGTGTTAAATATTATTGTTCTTTCTTTTCCTGCTCATTCCATAAGCAATTGATCTGGATTTGTGGAGTTGATTTATGTTCTGTTCTTTGGAAGGCCATTTTGGTTTAGTGAACATTTATAGTTACCAGAGTTATGCAAACCTTTAGAACTTTCTTTTAGGGATAGAGGTCTTGATGGCTGATAGGACAGATGGATCATTTCTGATGAGCTATATGGTAACAAGACTCTTAACCTGAGTACATTATTTCCTGGGGAAAAAGTTAACACTCCCAATTTAGAAAAGCAAAGCAACTATTTACTAAGTCTGCCCAAATTCAGGAAGACAGCTAAATTCTTAGTTGCATCAACCTATGCATTCACCTGGCCAACTATATTTTTTCAGAAATTGAATGGCATTTTCTTAAGGAGAGGATAAGAGCAAGAGATCATGTATTGTAGCGCTTTGGATTGTTTTCATATTGAATGAACCTTTATTCTACCAAACAGACCCACTTGTAACATTTGGGCTTCCATTAAACTTAGTTTCATGTTGCTGCTCTTGGGATTATAGGGCTTAACTGTTGACACACAAGGCTGCGTACATTCTGCTCGGAATTTGACTTCATGGGAATTTCAGGTGTGATAGCTCTTGTTTCTAAAAACATGGTCTGAATGTCACAGGTGCAGAGAAAAGCTTCCTTCTAAAGGCCAAGATTGTTTTGCATTGATCTAACAGAGGTATTGACTTTATGTAAAGCACATATTTCTCATGAATGAACTACAGTGTATGAGTTTCCTTTGCTACCAGTATATGGACTGGCACGTATATGGCTTCTGTTTTGCAGACTTCCCAACCTTTTCTATGGCCTACTTCAAAATAAAGGACCTCTGAGGAAATGGGTTTGGGGTACTGCTTTCTACTCACCTATTATGTGAAGCAGGTGGCACACACTCTGTGGTTTGCCATTCACATTAGCAGTAAAAAGCGGAGTTTACTATCCCAGTATGCATTCTACTGGTTACAGATGGTGTGAATGTAAAAGGGAAAAGAAAAAGCCATGGAATACAAGGCCTAGAATTCTTGGATTAGGCACTTCCCTGGATCATGGAGCAGACAGGAATGGAAGTCAGTGTAGGGACTGAATGAGTAGGGGGAAGTTTCCCTAATCACCATCACCAGCCAAAGGTTACTGACTGTCCAACAAAATGGAAAATATGGGGAAGCTTTTAATACTTGGTAAAAACCTTTAAAGTTATTAAGAATTCATGGCAGAAAAAATTGTGCCACATGTACAGTAACACAGATGACTGAGCGAGTAAGTCCTAGAAAATCCAATCATCCTTGGTCACTCTAAAGCTTCTTGGTTAATACGGTTTGATGCCTTTTTAAAGCCTAAAGAGAAAAAGAAAAAATCATGATGCCTGAAGGCACAATGCTGTGCATGTTTAGACAGAAAAAAGTCCCAGAACTCCCAGCATTCCCCAGGCAGCATGGGATTTCATTCTAAATTGTTAAACTGGTCTTCTCTCCTCAAGTACATTTTAAGGCCCCCTTTTCCTATATAAATTTCATGATAAATTCCAACCATTTTGTCACAAGTATGGACTGCTGAGGCTGCTCGGCTTGCTGATTTTATTCCTTGATGGCCACCATTATTTAAAGGGCATCTCTGTAAATGGTGGGTAGATATGCACGAGGGAATCATGATAGGCTGTGCCTTCCTGGTGCATGTCTGTTACACATGTCTTCAAACAAGAGACACCTGGATTCAGATCATGACTTGGGAGATCTTTGGCTAGTCATACTCCTGACTATGCAGAGTTTCTGTGAAGTGAGAGGAGGAGAAAGAGACTCCACCAGAAAATATGAGGGGACTTTCTGGCCTTTTGAGTTAAATATATGGCTTGTTTTTGGATTATCAGCCTTCAGACAACCTTTGATATATGAGGTATGAGTATGTATTTATACTCTATAGCTTTTAGCAAGGATCTCTGCCCAAGAATAGCAAACCGTTTGTTTTGCTACTGCTCGCATCCTGTTGTTTCTAGAGATAGCCAGGATGGAAGTTTCCATGAGAATGAAGGACCTCAGGTGCAGTGGTGGGGCAGGGGTGTCGCTTTCTGTTGTGAGGAAGGATGTGCTATCTGAAGTGCGTTTGTGGCTTTTTGTTCTTTCTGTTTGTGTGATATAGGTTAGGGTCTTACTGTTAGGTCTCTTAATATGAACTTTTGAATGAATCAGTTAATAGGCATATAATATTGGTACTGGATATTCTTGTTGGATTTTCATACATTTTAAATTAGCTCTGGGAAACTGTGGCCCACCAGATATTGACCCAAAGTTCTGTTTTTTCTGACCATTGACTTTGCTGGCTTGGACTGCTGGCAGTTGTCCTGAATTAACCACAATTGTTTAGATGTTAATGTTACATTGTAATGTATTACAGTTCCTGACTATTGTATTTAAATTTCCTACTTTGAGTATAATGCAATTGGAGAAACTCCAGTACAATTAATGATTAACCTCAACATGCACTTTCCTGAGTCCCTTTGGGGAAAGAACATAATAAATGATGCATAAATGGCAAACTCATATAACATGCAAAATGTGATTTAAAAATTGATTGCATACTGCCATTTAATTTGATATTGCACTTACAGAGGTTTAAGAGGACAGCCCTGTGCAACCATGTACACTGTTACGTGTAAAAAGTGAGGCATGTTTACACATGCAAGCAAACAGCAGAATAAGCATACAAGCAGTCTTCATCTACAATATATGTGGGTGCAGTTTTCCTTCATTAGGATAGGTAAAGCATCACAGGTAAAATAAACTACAGGTCAAAGCAGACAAGGTGGATTACGGTGGTTTAGTTCTTAAATGCACATCCATTTATTGCATGGGAATCCATGTGCATTAACCACGTAGCATTATAAGCAAGCCACCTCTTTAAAAGTACTCTAGGCTTTGTACTTATGGAGTAAAAATTTTAAACTTGCTACTTTTTCTGCAACAATTTTCCCAGATGTTTCCTGCAGTTTGACAGATGTACCATTTACTAGAAAGTAGCACTCCTGAGAGTTAGAATGTTATGGACACAGTTGCTATAGACAATGACTGTAAAATCAGGATTTGGAATAAAATCTTATGTTTACTTTTAGTTGGATAAGAATTTTTCCCCAGACTACAAATGATGGACTTGAGAATATCCTTTACTTTTCCCTTACACTGTCATCTCCTTCATCCCCCGCCACCCCCAAACAGGCATTAATTCTGTTTAAAACTACCAATTGTTAACACTCAAGCTGGAGCAGATTGCTTTAGTGCTAAAAAGTTGCACAAGATGTTTTGGCTCTTTCCTTGAATTTAAAGCCAATTAAGATAACTTGTATTCAATATTTAAACATTTTAGGGTTTGCTAAGATATTAATATAGATTTTTGGGGGGTTTATCAGTGGAAAAATCAATTAAAATTAAGGCATGTGTTTTTGCATTGTTTTAACTATATCTTCATGAATTGATCTCACATTGGAGTGTAGGTTGGCATTAACAGGGGGGTAATTGTTTCAATAATGCCATCAACATTAACCCAGATTAAGTAAATTTCATGTCCAGATTTTTACAAGTTTGCATCTTTGTGTTATAAACTAATCACTCAGATTAAAAAGCCCTTCTGGGTGTCAGTGGTCCATATCCAGGGTGACAGTGCTAAAATGCTTTTATCATGTTAAGCAAATATAATAAACTATGTGCATTATCTGAACATCTGCAACAGCTTCCTTAGATCTATTTATTTTATTTACTTAGAAATATTTGTGCCACTTTTCCATTTTTGAAAAATAGACCAAGCAATATGGTGTGCTGATACAAAATTGCTGCATGGATCTGTGCTGGGAGGGACATATTTGGTGTGCAGGACCTGACGACTCCCCCCTCCCCAGCCCTCTCTGGACTGAATGATGTTCTGGGCTGGCAGCGCACCCTGATGTTGGTGAATGTGACCTCATATTGTGACATCCTCTGTCCCCCACCCAAAGTGTTGAGCGGGTCCTCCACAATGGCAGTTGGCCATCAGGTGTCGCTGCATGTGGGCTTTTCCAGTCTGGAGGAGAAGGCCGGCATTCAGTGAAGCAGTCCAGGCTAAGGTACTGGAGGATGGTGTACCCCGTGTGGCAGTTGGGGTGGCTTGGCCACCCTGCACTTGCCTCTAGTGGAAGCGTGGGTGGGTGGAGGTGAGCTTTCAGAATGCTTTTGGCTCCTTTTGAACGTGATGGCAGAAATGGCTGTTGATTCCAAGGTCAGTGTGTGGTGCTTTATTGACCCAGGTTTCTGCCTGAATTTTAGAGGAGTGATCCCTGGTGCAGAACCTGTTTTGGAGGCAGGGTTCAGGACCACGGAAAGCTCTTTAAGATCTGCTCCCCTGACACTGGAGCCACCGCCTTCCACTGGAGACTTCGCCAGCTTGGCTTCTCTCTGTCCAGGAAAACTTCCCCAGCTAGGGCACCCCTGCTTGCCCTCCTAACTGCAAGAGCATGGGCTGCACTAGGTGTGAGGGATCCCTACTTAAACCGCTCTCCTCTCCTCAAGTACAAGGAATCCCTTGTGTGCCTCTGCCTTCGACCTTGGGCAGGGAGGCCCCATTTTGCCCAGGCTGGGCAGAGACAGTCAGCACACAGGAATCCCCTCTGATCACAGATCCCCACCTTTTCTCAGTTGCTTCCATGACGCAGGGTTTGGGAAGCTCCTGCAGGCTGGGTAAAAATCTTGAAGACTGGTGGATCCCCGTCCCTGGTCTGGGCAGTGTTTTTTTCCTCACTGATGATGAAAGGCAGGGGAAAGGGAGCTTTCCGATATCATCACTGGTTCTCACTGATGTGTGAGAATTTGCCTTGGGTGATACATAACACAACCCTTAAGGTAGTCAAGGGCTGTTATTAGAGATGTGAGCTAAATGAAGAAAATGGTGCATAGCTGAACTGAGATTTGAACCAGGGGATTGCGCTTATGTTCTTAACCACCGCGTTTCTTATGACACATTCCCATGCATATTTAAACAGAAAAGCTGGCTGGGGAATGCTGGTAGTTGTAGGACTTATTTCTGTCTAAACATGCATATGATTGCACCGTTAATCACTCAACTGGGTGCCTAATAATGCATAGTTTGAGCTGCAAGGCATGTTTCCAAACAGTTTTCCATGTGTTTGGTGGTTTTGCCAAGCCACTCTGAGTGGCTGTTGTATTTTATTTTATCTCTCACATTTTGATACTACCCAATATTGGCAGCTCAGTTCAGGACCTGTGCTCCTGCCAGTCTTCTTCATTATAATTTGTCTTTGTTTATTAGGTTGGGACTATCATCTCCTAAGCACATAAATTACAGCATTTAAGAGCATTGCTCGCTTCTGTCTCTCTTGAAAATAGGTATGGAGATTGAGTAGAGTTTCTTACTTGAAATGTATCATACTTTTTAGAACATGCGTGCCCACTTCATTCTGATGTCCGTCTTTACAGGAGGCAACTCACTGCATGTTGTAGTTTCCCTTTCTCTTTGCAAATGACCATGGCAATCATAATATAGTGAACTTGAGATAGCAAAATATGAAAATGTAGAATTGTGCTCATAATGTTTGTAACAAACTCCATCAGCTCAGTGTTCAGTGGAGTTATGGCATTGCAGAGAGACAGATGGACATGCATATGGAAAGCCAAAATGGGCCTGTGGTAACCTGAGAGCTGTATTTTAAAACTGAATGACTAGCAGTGAAAGTGAGAATTTAAGAAACAAAACTTGCTGAAAAACATTGGCACGTTCCAGCTTGCTGTTTTCCTTGAAACGTGATATGAAGTGCAGTGTCACTTCTCAGTTGCACTGAGTCCTGGCGGGCTGCTCTGCTCAGGCTGGTATCCCGGTCTGGGCTCTGACTTGCCTAGGGCACCTATAAGTATGCTTTGGGCCCCCACGGTTTTGCTCCTTTTGATGTCTCAGGACCAGCCCTTATCATCTGGCTTCATGGAGGACCCAAGACACATTTCTCCCTCCCTTCTTTGGTGACTTGGGAAAAAAACCTGAAACTTTAGTCTGGAATGAAGAGAAGTTTTCTCAAAAATAATATTCAACGAGTGTTGAAGAAATCCATTCTTGTTGTCTTTTCAGCACAGCTTTTGTACTTGGGCGGACTCTTATTTTGACACAGCTTCTGCCTGCTGAGCTTTTTCTGCAGGAGAGCGCTTGCCAAGTTTGTGAGGCCCAAGGCTTTCTTGTGGGAGGACGCAGGGCTGTCTTCATGCTCTTTGGCAATGATTAAAGTGAGGTTAGTACAAGAAAAAAAATGTGTGTGGGGAGGGAAGAGAGCGCTTTCATTTATTCCCTGTTCTTCGGATTTTCAAACCAGAGCTTGCTTTTTGAAACCAGATGGCAGCACCATATTTTCAGCTGAAATTAATTTAAACTCGCAAGCACTGAACAGAGAAGTGTACGAGTGGATCAGCCGCTCTGCTGGAGAGGTAGCAGTGGTTCCCCCTCCCCGCAGTATGAATCAGATTCACCTTGCTAACTCTTCAGTTATCTTCCCGTGCCCCAAAAGGAAAGATCAGAGACTAAGCTATAACTATTGCTAAACACCAACAGGCTTAATGTACACAAAGGTGGCTGTTTCTAATTGGAAACAGACAAGCTGGGGTGGCAAGGAAATATTATTATAGTCATGTGACAACTTGCAAAATATAATTGTGCATGTTTAAAGTTAGGGCAAGGAGTTGTGTGGTCTTCAAGCGAGCCATTCACACACTGTGCTTATTTAAGTTTTGTTGCAATTTTTTTTTTACTCAGTTGTGAATACTTTAATTAATGTAGCTGTCCAGGGCAACATGCTCCCCTCCCAAATGACACTCCAAACATTAGTATGCAAATCTTTTTTCCTACTTGGGGTTGTTTCTCTGTAGGAAATATTATATATGATGTAACTTGACAAAATTTATTCCAAGAATACTGTGAACAGTGAGAGACATGCAGACTTACTTAATTGTTCCTTTAGGTATTTATAAGCCAAATTTTAGGAGCTTGCCTTCCCAACACAATGTACATTACCAGACAGACATTTCCAGGAAATACTTGAGGCAGAAAGTTGGCATAGACCATTATTCTTTTGCATTTGAGTCATTTGCTAATTAATCATAATTGGCCTGGAGGCAGCTTAAATGATTATGCAGTGGAGGGCAGGTAGCTCTCCACCAAGAGGGCATTCCAGAACTGAGGAGTCCCCACAGAGGAATTTTTGTCCTGTGCGCTCAATACTCTTAACTGATCTTGGTGTCTCTCCTTGAAGAAAATGACAAGATTTTTTGTAAAGATTTGATATAAGTGAAGCTTCTGATTTCAGTTATCTGGCCACTGGAATTTTGCAGGACTTTTTATAGTTGTCTTGCTGCAGCATAAATTACTGATACACAGATATATAACACTAACCTGGCTTTTCAGGTTTTCTGGCTGTTGCCAGAAGTTTTATGTGGGCTTTATGCAGCTTCCAGATTCTTTAAACGATAATGTACAAGCTGATAAGAATGCTACTTTTAATATCTGCTTATGAACTTTATATGGCTATTTATGCTATTTAAACTTTGCATATCTGCAGTTACTTTGCATGTATGGCTGTGTGCCAGAATATATTCAGAACTAAATTCCGTTTACTTTTTTTAATCAGTTCAGCAGGCAGCTGAATTCTTTGCTTGTAGAAAGAGAGTTGTATGGGATTAATTATAACCCCAGGAGGTAGGCAACACGTAACCTCTGATCTGACTTTGACATTAGTGTCTGAACTCTGGGAAGTACACATTTAAGAATATAAAATTAAAAATAGGCATCTAGAATATTTTTACTGGACCCCCAAGGGAGCAATCCTAAGCAGGTTTGGACAGGAAAAGACCTACATCTCCCAGCATGCTCCAGCCAGGTTGGAGAATGCCAGGGATATAGGACTTTTTCCTGTCTAAATATGCTTAGCTTTGCACCTTTGTTTGTTTGTGTGAATATTTTATACCATTCTCTGGGCAGTTCAGAACAGTTATTTTACAAACATAAAATACAGCACAATAAAATACATAAAAATTTAAATTATAGTATAACAATAAAATAAAAACTAGCAGCAGCAGCGATAAAATTTGAAACACAGTAACAGATTTCAAATAATAGGAACTGAAAAAGTAAAATGCCTGGAAATATTTACTAGGTGCCAGGTAAGCCTCTCTGAGAAGCTCATGCCAGAACGAAGGGCCCACAACACAAAAGGTCTTCTTAGTAGCCACCCTTCTCACTTCCTTTGCTGGGGGTTCCCAGAGAAGGACCACTGAAAATGGGTCTGGCTAGGTATATATGGGAAAAGATGCTTCTTCAGTTATTCTGGCCCTAGGCTGTTAAGAGCTAATGTCAATACTTTGAATTGAACTCAGACTGGCAGCTAATGCAGATGGAAAAGCACTGGTGCTGGCATTATATGGGCATGTTGCCAGTTCCATTAATGAACTTGCTGTCTGATTTTGGACCAGCTGAAGTGCCTGGATCATTTATAAAGGCAGCCCCACATATAACACAGTGCAGTAATCCAGGCAAAAGGTTACCAGACTGCAGATAACTGTAGCTAGGCTATTTCTTTCTAGATAACAATGTAGTTGTTACATCACCCTAAGTTGATAACACTTTCTCTGTGTCACCAAGTCCACCTGTGCCTCTAGTAACAATGCTGGATCCAAGAACACCCCCAAATGGCAAACCTCATCCTGCAGGGTGAAGTTCTCTCCAGAACAAAGGGGACATCACTAAGCAAAGGTTTTGGATGGCTTACTTTTATTGCCCAGTGCTGGTATCTGGGTGGGGAACAGGGACAACCACTGAGATGGCAGATGAGGTACCTCCCAGCAGGTGACAGCAAAACATTTGTTCCTCCAGGGCTGGGTAAGGAAGGCCATGCTTCTGTTCCTGACCTGCGGGAAACACAGTGGTTCACCTTCTGTTCAGATACGTGGATCAAGCAGTTTCTGTTCTGCATTTACTCCAGATCATTGCCTTCCCCCACTCAGTTTTGAAAGGTGGAGATTAGTCCATATGTTCCCTTGGTAAGACCTTTGTGTCTTGTACTTGGAACGCTTGTACAGGCACTGGAAGAGTGCCCCTTGCCCTTTCACCACCTTATACGGGCCCTGATGGTGGCAAAATGCAGTTGTCTTTTTCCGACCTCTCTATTTGTTTCAGCTAGCAGGGAGTAATGAATATTGGGGCGTGACTTATCGTTATTGCAGTCACACCTAAGTCTCATATCTTGCAGCTGCCGATTTCTGTTCTGTTCTGTTCTATTTGGATATCCTGCATGCTGAGTTGGTGAAGTGGGCAAATGTGAGGGCTCTGTTCCCAGATTCTTGGTACAGGTGGAGATGGCCCTGCACATGGACCTTCCCGTTGTAAAACTCTTGCCTACCCGTTGGCGGCTTCGTGGGATATGGGGGGTATACTGGTGACAGGTAGAGAGGATGCAGAGGTAGCAAGAAGTAATGGGAACGGCTCTTAGGGATGACTCTCCTCATGCATTATCCTCTCCACCAAAAAGGATGGAGAGGATAATGATACTTACTTGAGAGAGAGAACATGAGCAGTACTTGATTATCTTGACCCCTGAGGTACTGAAGACTGTAAGAGTAGTCAGCAAACTAGTCTTTGTCCTGTATGTGGCTTTTCACTGCAAATCCACCAACCCTTGTGCAGCATTTTTTGAGGTGCGTGGCACTCGGTTCAAGGGAGCTGAGGAGCTGATGTCAAGGCATGATAAAGATAAATTTGGAGCTGAGTCCCAGGAAACACTGCAGCTAAGATACCTAATATGAGAACCCATTGTGTTATTTTTAAAGGAAATATATTTGTTGTTTTGAGACAGACATTCTATTTCTTGATTGATCGTATCTGTGCAAATGAATTGATTTTCCTAGCAAAGATGATAGTAGAGAACACGTAAATATCTTACATGTGTTCTGGGGTTTTTCACCTTTGCTTGAGTAAAGCCACAACTATGTCAGTGGATTGGTTCACACGAACAGTCCATGAGCTGTTGAGGGTTCTGGGGTGGCTTGTTAGCCACAGCAACAAGGCAGCCATGCTGGATTCACACAAGACACTGCGCTTTGACAGTGAGGGTGATTGTGCAAACCTTTCCCCCAAGTGTGCGACTGGCATACACGGTGCAGAAAATAAGTAGCCTCTGTCTTTTATCATACGCTCTCCAGTGAGGTTCACCTGACACCGAGCCTATACGCTTTTCAGCAGCAGGTTAAAACCTTTTCATTTAATCGTTATTTTAAAAATTAGTATTTTTACTGTTTTACAGTTGTGTTTGTTTTGTTTTGATTGGATTTATTTCTAATAGTTTTGATAATTTTATTGTATTGTACTGTTTATCAATTGTTCTGTGGATTTGCTTTTAATCTTGTAAGCAGTCCTGAGATGCAATAGTGAAGGACGGCATACAAGTGTTATAAATAAGGAAGGAAGGAAGGGCACAAAACCTAATGTTTTCTACCTAAAATTTAGAATATAGATGCAAATAGGAGCTTTGGTGTTCATGGCTGACAAATGGTACCTGTCCTTAACCCAGTTTGCATGATCAAAAAGCCACTGTGGCTTAAATTCAACAGGCAATGAGGATTCCTTCAAAGAAGCCATGTAGCGTAGGTTTGGATGATTCAAGAAGGTGTACCAGAATCAGGCACTTTGGGAAATACTGCCTGACACATGCCAGGGATTAAAACATGCCAGTGTGATTTATTTGATTGTGTGAACTGGCCCTTCCTGTCAGAGACTGTCCCAACAAGAATGCGTTCTTGACTGCATCATACTTAGAAAGATGAAACAAACAAGCAAAAAACATCTACGGAAAGTGTTGTAGGGAGCATTACTCTGCCGTTCTAACTTCATGTGGGGGAGGGCATAGGATTTTTCAGAGTCTCAGCTCTGAGGTCCTGTGACTTGGAAGGCTGAGCCCTCTCCCCACCAAACCCTTTCAGCAGTGAAAGAGCCATGCTGGCTGCCTTTCCAAGGTCACAAATTGGCCAAAGGAAGCTGGCGCTTTCAGCTCACACCATAACTACGCAGAGCCCCAGCTGTGCTTCCTTTGAGCATCTGGAAACAGCCATCTGGTGAAATGTGGGGCACGAGGCATCATGGCAGCCAAGATTGCCTCGACTGTACTTTATTTACATACAGCTTAATTAGTTTACATTTATCCTCCTACAATTTTCCAGAAGACCTTTTCTGCTAGTGTTGGTGTTGTGTATTTTTGTCATGATAAAAGTGTCCATATTGACAGGGAATTCTAGTTTGAAATGGCCAGTTTGCCTGAAATGGCAATCCTGTTTGTTTTTTCAGTCTGGGTTACCATGAGCCAGTCAAGTTCTGGTACACACTGCTTGATTGCTCCTGTGGTTGGCAAGAGGGGCTGATCAGGTTGCATATAGTCACAACATGGCTTGTTCACATTGCCCAACAAGAAGAAAAGAAACATGAGAAACATTGGGCTTACGTTACATGCAGACCTCCCATTCACTTCACTACTACTTCATATACCTCCATCCGCATTAAGTGTAAAGCACTCTAACGCAGTATAATGTAGCACCATCTTAGACAAGAATATACCCGAGCGTTTTACACTTGACATCCCTGCTGTGCTTCATTCAAGGAAACCTATAACAGCCTTCCCCTTCCTGGTGCCCTCCAGATGTTTTGGACATGGCCATTGGTTTTGCTGGCTGTGGCTGGTGGAAGATGAAGCCCAAAATATCTGGAGAGATACACTGCTTGGGATAGACTGTCCTCTAAACTCCCTTGACCCTTGAAAATAATGCTGCAAACATCACCTGTGCGGCTGCCTATATATACCCATGTTTCTGGCACATAATTGGCCTGAAAGGATGAAGGATACAACCAAGTAATTTCTAATACAAGCGTTTCTTCTTCTTGACTCAAGGAGATAATTATTAATCATCATAGAGTGCCACAAGAGTGGCTATTTACAAGCTTCTAATAAACTTTACATGATGCATTGCTCAGCAGTTTCCATTTTCATCTTCTGGATATAACTTGTTTGAGATTTGGAAGAAAATCTGCTGTAAGGATGTAAACCCATAGAAAGTTTTAAAAGGTGGGACAAAAGCAGATAAACTTAAATGGCTCTTTGTTAACTATTTTGTAACTGTAGGCATGTAAAGAATTAAAAGATTCATTTTTGGCACCTGTTGGTGCTGTGTATTTGGCTTGTGTTATGTGCTATGCAAAGAAAACATTTGCACAACAATATATCACTTGCAGTATGTAAAGTTAGGCCTTCATGCAAAACTTGTAGCTTCATCTTTTGTTCTAAGACTTTCAAATAGATTTTGGAAAGGATTCATTAGAATGAAGGGATGTTTGGCAAGGATCTCCACTGCTGTAGTTCTTCTGAAGTTATGTTTCAGACGACTACTAGATTTTTAACTGGGTGGCCCTTTCCAGGACAATTAAGTTTGTGTATAAACAAATCAAATGCACTAATTTATTTCCCCTCTGCTGGCTTGAGCCACGTTAAGTGTACACAGAAAATTTTGATCTTTGCGCTTATGCTTAGGAGAAAATAAATTCTCCATCAATACAGGTCTGTTTTTTCCAAATATGAGATACTTCTTATAAGCATTATATGGTCTGAACTGACAAAGGCAGTGTGTATTATCAAATGAAGACAGTGAAATGACAGATTTGTACAAAAAACAGGCTGTTTACCAGGATGATACATGTTATGATAATATAAATTCACATGCAATGTTTTCTTGTTAATGATGTTTATGCTTGTTTCTCTTTTTTTTCTTTGTCTTTTTATTTCATAATGTGACAAAATTGTATTATGAAACTGGGAAACCGGGAACAAAGGAAATGTTTTTGAAAATGTTTTATTCAAAAGAAACAAACTGAGCATTAGAAATAGTTGTGAATTGATTCTTGACTAACTGGTCCCATTCTTCCACTGGGAATTTAAGTGTGATTAAGTTTGGATTCAAAGCATGTCTTTCAACTTTTGGGACCCTGATAATTTAGGCTGTACTAGACAAGCTCTAGAAATGCATTTGAACTTTAAAAGGATAATTATATAAATACTACACAGAAGTATAACTGTACTCATCTACTGATTTGAGGAAAATGAAATCTATGACTACATTCAAAGAACATCTGTTATCAAGTTTGCACATTCCTTAAAAGGAGGTTACTATGCACTTGCAGTGGACTTATGGCAAATCAAGGTTTGCTGTTTTGTCTGAAGCCAGCAAACCAGTTTGCTCAAACTGCCATTTCCCTACAACCCTAACGAAGGGACCCCACTTCGTGTAAATTGTTGGCTTTTGATGAAACAGCAGATCAGAAACAGAAGCTCCCAATATCTTCTTACACATGAAGGGAAGAAGGAAACCTTATGTCTGAATATAGCTTATATGCATGTCTTGTTGGACTTCTTTTAGACAGACTTAATCACTTTGAGTAGAATTTTCTGGAGATGTAAAGCAGCCATCTCAAAAGCAATGGAATCTCTTTTTGTATGCTGTACTTTCAGAATGTTTTCTGTCTGAAAATATGTATAACAGTTGCTACCTTTTAAATATATTTGCCTTTAAATCCACTTAATTACAGCATTCTTTCCTTGAGTATGTGGGGCATGTATCTGAAGTCACCCTGGGATTGTCATTATAAACATAATATGCAGCACAATTGTTTAGTGACTTCACATAGGACATATAGTTCTTGGCACCAAAGTATGTTTTGAATTTATTAACTAGTAACAGGTTTATTCATATCCACCTGCAGTGTTTTATGTTAGAAAAGAGCAATATAATAAAATGCCTGCCTTCAGGCCTCTGGATAGGGTCAGCAAGGCAATCTTCCAGTGTTTTTTTAACAGCAACTTCTGTCTCCAGAAGCTTCCTCTTCTGAACTTTGCATATTGATTTTGGTTGGTTTCACTCATGACTTTAGGAATTTGTCCATTAAACTCATATTGCCCTGAAATTCAAGCTAGGAAAAATTACTTTTTCTGGCAGGCTAGGATGTTCAACACTTGACTCTGGGAAAGTATCATTTTAATTGACCACTAAATAAGCTTCTGGCTGGCATATGAATTTTCTGGGTGTCTTTATTGAGCAGTATACTCCGCCTGAGGCCAAATATGAAAACTAACCACCTGCTTAACTTTTTATAAAACATGACTAAATGGGCAAACACCTAGAACTTTTGCCAGCCACAGTACTTTGTTAAAGTTGTTGGCCTGGTTTTATCACACAGGACACTGCTGAAACTGTTCCTCTTGTGTGCCCTTTGAGTGAAGGTGAATTGCACCCAGTTGGACAATAAAGGAGCAACGAGTATATCATTTTTGTTCTGTATTTGGAGTCTGATCGGAATAGAAAAAATATTCCATATTCCTACTAACATTCATATTTGTTTATGTTGATTAGTTTCCATAAAACTAAACTTAACATGCAAGATATATTGACACAGCATTATGCAACAATGGAAAAATGGTTTTCTACAGTCCTTGTAGAACTATTAGCTGCTATACAAGAGGAAATAATGAAGTTAAGAATGGGGATGCAAGACCTGCAGGACTGGAAATAATATTTGGAAACAGGCTATTAGTCATTTAAATTATGGGTAATAATTCTGTTAAGGGAATAAACACTTTATGTTAAGTCATAAGCATTCTATATATGCAATGGGACTATAAAGTACTATAGTAGATCGAACTACTTTGGACCATACCACTTCAGATGCAGTTACAGCTGACTTAACTTAGACTGGGACATTTTATGCTTAGAGTTTATCAGGCATTGGATGTATCAGAAGCATTAATACGCGCCTGCAGTAACCCACTCAACTAGTGCACATTCATTCACCCATTCATAATGGCTTCCATTTATGGAATTCATACTTTCAATAAATTACAGGATATGAAGAGGACTGTCACTGGCAGAACATCTTGGAGGGCTTTCATTCATAGGGTCCCCATAAGGCAGAGATGACTTGACAGCACATAGCAACAACAGCAGACTTTCAGTAGTTAACTTCTCGTTGCAGTTCACAAGTATTGAAAATAACCATAAAAATAAAATAACAGAGAAAACAATGGAAATGATTGAGGCAGCAGATTGTAGCAGATCAAAACAATTAAATGATGTCAAAAGTATGAGGATTTACAGGCCTAGGCTGGTATTGAGAAAATAAAACTGTCAGTGCCAGATGTACTTCTCCCGGGAAGGGATTCCTAAGGTGGAGCACTACAGCTGAAACGGTCCTTGCTGCATTTCAGATTGGCAGGGGCATTTGGAAGAAGGCCTCTGCAAACGATCTAGGGTTCGTGTAAGAAAGGCTCGTCTCCAGGAGGCCAAGCAAGCAGACTTTCCCAAAATGTATGCTTTTTCTTTTTGATTTCACAGATTGAGCTAGGTGCTGTGCAGCGCAATCCTATGCATGATTTATACAGAAGTAAGTGTTACTGTGTTTGCTCCATAAGCATGTTGAAAATTGCAACCTGAATCACCTAATGACTTTAGAATATTAGATATTGGTTTCCTTTTGGTTTGGTTTTGTTGTTTGTTTCCTTGGCTTTTTGTTCAAGGCTATGTAAGCATGTGTATATTACTAATTGTAAAATAGCATCCGCTACTTTTCCTAAGGTACAAGTCTTAAAATTTAGGCCTACTTTAAATAGAAGCTTTCTTTAAAAATAGTGTGGGATGTTAGCTTTCTGTCAGCAGTTCTTTTGGATGTTCCTCTGGTAGAGGGTTGTGTATTAGAAATGAGTGTAAAGGAACAGTCCCTTTTTCTGGGCCTCTCTCCTGCTCTCTCTTTCTGCCTTTCCTTAAACAGTTGGCAAAGCTAAGTCATTTCTCCAGGATGGGTGTGAATTACCCATTGCTCTGTTCCAGTAAACAGAGAGGCAGCATTAACAGTCTACAACACAAGAATCGTTTAAGGACAGTGTGTCGTAACCACCACTTGAACCTTTTCAGTGCATGGACTCAGAACATTGCTTTCAGTTAACAAAGATGAAAATCTGCCACAGTTTGGTTCTAGCAGTCAGGATGTGTGTGGTTTTGGTATGTCATCCATCTAAGCACATGATGCTTGGGTAAGCACTGGAGCCTGGATTATGATTCACTAGGGAGAATGATGGAAAACAATGTCTGTTTTAAAGACAAGGAAAAATACAAGATTTGAGCTATGAGTGGGGGGGTGGCAGAACTGTTTCATACACAAACCTTGTGTAGAGTAATAAATCGTGCCATAAATGAAAACATGCTTACTGCTGTGATTGTGTTAGACTAAATTCAGGTAGTCTGTTTCCTATCTTGTTACAAAATGCACAAGGTCAAAGGGCCGTATGTCACTATTACCTCTGCCAAAAAGATAAGCCCATATGTCCAAAGGCTATAGAAGCGTAAGAAAAATCGTTAGGTAGATTTTAGCTTAAGTAGGGCAAAGTACTTGTCACAATTCTGTAGAGCCCTTCCTTGGCTGTATGCATTTGTTTGTGTGCATGTGTGAGAATGTGTTTTAAGCTCTCCACAGTTTGTTTCATTCTTAGGATAGTAATAGAGGAAGGGTTTATGTTTTGTTTTGTTTTTTGCACTTTAGTTCAATAAAGAACTGTGTAGTGTATTAAGAGCTCAAGTTGCATAGAGGCATGCCAGGCCAAAGAAGCGATGGACAGGGCCCCTTTGGAAATACAGAAATAGTAGGTAATAAAGTCTGCCTTAGCATAGATTTGAACTCTCAAGTCTCTTAAGAGAGAAAACTGAAATAAAGAAAAACATTGTCCATAAATCAGAGAACTTTATCTCACACTAAAGCTATCTCTAGTTTATTTTACCAGAACACTGCTATTTTGCCTGACAACCCAAAACTCAGCTCACTGGTAGAACACGTGCTTTGCCTGCAGAATGTCCCAGGGTCAACTGCTTGTCACCTAGGGCTAGGCAGGAACCCTGTCCGAGGACCTGGAATGCTACTGGCAGTGAGCGCCAGCAGTAGTGGACTAGATGGGCCACTGGTCCGGCCTCCTATATGGCACCTTCCTGTCTTCCTAACTAGTAGTATATGGCAGTGAAATATAGGCATAGCCACAGAATGCTTGTATGTGCACATGCTTAGGATATATAAAATCACATACTTGTGAGAAAGGATACAGGAAATAGTTTTCTTCCTCTAAACAACTGACACCCATGGCAGAGTTGCAAGTCATCTGTATCTCCTCCCCTGTATAGTGAAGTTTCTTCACTATACTTTGTCCAAACAGTGACACCCCCTCCTCCCAACTGGGCAGAGGATTGTTTCAGAGATCTTCCAAATACCCTGGACTGACAGAAAGACATACAAGTGGGTCCTTGGAAGGAAAATGTTGTAAGCCGCCCCGAGGCTTCGGCGAATGGGGCGGCATAAAAATGTTTTAATAAATAAATAAATAAATAAAATGACAAAACTGAAGCTGTTGTATTTTGTGTAGCTCACAAAAAGGCAAGATTTGCTGGAGAAAACAGTCATGCTAGAGAAAGGCAGAAGAAGAAATGTGAGATGGTGCAGTTCTATGAAGCAGTAGTTTCCACCCTTTTCTATGCCCTACACCCTTAGATAATGTTTGATTTATGTTCACATCTCCTACAAAAGTAATGCCACATTTGAAGATGAAGAAGTCAAATTTCTAATTTTTGAATTGCAAATTGAATACAATATTGTGGGTGAAGAAATTGACCTCAAAAATAAGCTTTTAACGCAGTGCATAAAATTCAAATATAAATCGAGCAATTAGAAAATAATTGCAAACATTAACATTGATCCCAGTGTGAACATAAAATTCAGTGACTTCTTTGTTCCTGCTTCTCAAAATGTGGAACTTTCTTGGTGATTACGATCTGCAAGTCTGCCTTTTGATTTGGGCACTTCCTAGATTTTGTCTTGATTGACAAAAGAGAACTGAATCAAATGAAAACAAAATAATAATAAATAATTTTATTATTGGGATAATGTTTGGCAAAAACCATCCCAATTCATAAAGTTTGCCAAATCGAGATGCAGCCTTCCTCTTTGTCACACTCCCTGAAATGCCATATCATACCCCTTGGGGGTACAGGCACCCCAGGCTGGGAATAAAGGAAGTCAAGCCCCAAGTTTGCAAGAGCTGAGCTGTGCAGGACATGACATTTTGGAGGACAATCATTCATAAGGTCACCGTAAGGCACATGACAACAGCGTGGAGGCGGTGACAGGCGCTGCTTGCATAGGTCCTCCCCGCTTGAGATCCTCCAAGCTGCATGCAGCCCACTTGTTGCTTGAGGGGCTTGTTAACTCCTTCCTCAGCAAAGGAGTCAAGTGCTGAAGAGGGGCAGCTCCTGAGAGCAGCCAGTTTCTGCATTCACCTGAGCAGCAGCTTCTGGGTCAGCCGGAAGGGCAACCCCACGATATTGAGCTAGCGGTTTGCATTTGGTTTGATAGCTCCCAATCATCCAGGTACTGGTGGCATGTGATAAGAATGGTGTCTGCCTCTGAGGTGTACTGGCTGCCAAAGGTGCCATCACTTCCAAAATGCAGTCCAGAGTGGCTTTACAAATGACTAAGCTCCTCCAGAGAAAGGTGTCACAACGCCCTTGACCTCATGCAGAAGTTTCAGTTTAATGTGTTTTGCTCATGTCCTGCTACAAAATTGGTGATTTAGGGTGTCATCCTGTGCTTGCCTGGCTGGGACATGCTGACATTTCTAGGGCTGTCTAAATATGCACCGGATCGCAGCTTTAATTTGAGCAAGAATTCTGGGCACTTCACAGGCAACTCAGCTTAAACTACCAGGGTTTCTTTCCCCAGTATTGTAATCAGGATACTCTTGTAAAGTGACTGGAATTCATGTTTGCCTCAGTATGAGATAGCATTCAATTAAAAATAAAAGGACAAGTGATTTGGCCTGGTAAAAGTTCAGGAGCAGGAGACCAACTTTTAAAGTATTGTGTTTCCAATTGTTTGCTCAGAAAACCTTGGTGGTAGTGGTTGTGATGAATTGTAATCACTAATGATCATATACATGATTTCAGTTTCTTTATAAATTTCAGAGAGGAGGGGAGAGAAAGCCTAGCAGACATGCACATGCATATGCAGGCACTAATTACTGTTAATTACTGTTCAGTTTTACTTAGTGGAAGGCAGCAAATTAAAAGGGACCTTTTTATGTAGCTAGTGTTTATTTGAAGGAATGGCCTGTGTTTACAAAGATCATGTGCCAAATGCACCAATATTTTATAAACAACTTTTTTTCATTGAAGTGCAGTTACAACACATAATTAGTATCTCTCTGAAAAAGCTGTAGATTATTGAGGTTAAGCAGAACTTGTGAAGTAAATTAACTCCCAAATGACTTAACACTAGAGAAATAAACACAGCCCATCCACTTGTGGAGGTAGCTGTGTTGTTTCCAAGTTTAGCAGCAGCTGTTTTCATGACTGATGGAGTCAAATAAGCCGCCACGGACTATGGTGCATGCTGGTGGCCATTCTGAAGGCTCAAGCTGTAGCTTGTGCCATCTGAACCTGGGCAGATGTGGTATCAGTATTAAACAACCTTTTCATTCCCCGTGGTCTGTTCTAGGGTCATGTGAGGATTGCGTAAACCTTGCACAATGACCCCCCCCCCCGTCCCACCAGTCTGGATTTGGATGATATGACAACCCACAGCTGCAGCTTAAACCTAAAAAGAAGAGGAAAAAGAAGACTGGCCAGCGAGGTTCACTGTGTATTAAACAAGCCATAGTTGGCTGTCGTGATCTTGTGAATCAGGTCCTTTATTACGGGGTAATAAAATCTGTTATTCAGTGGCACGGTGTCTGACTGTGGGTCTTCTCACATATTTTGCTTTAAATGTGTACACCCATGGTTTCGTAAGTATACATCTATAAAATGGATGGTAGGACGTGTGATACCTGTCTCCCATCAGGGAATGAGTGTTGATTGGGGCACTCGGTAACAAGTCAGTAAACTTTGGTTCGATGCTGTGCAAAGTAGTCCTGGTGTGATGCTTTCTGCACAAGCGCCTGTTTTGTGTGCTACAACTCTGCTTGGTGGGAGAGGCCTTCCTGTGTTCCCATAATAAGCGGAGGGCCAGTTTGCTCGGCACATGTCACTCTGGCTCTCTGGTGTAACAGATCCTCGACCTCCCTCCTTTCCAGCCCCAGTGCATCTCAGCAAAATAGTTGCTGCATCAGTTTCCCATCCCCATCTTTGCCTGTCAGCAACATACTGGATCACGCTACCCGCTTTCCAACACTGTGCAAATGCCACTGTTTTAAGTGGTGCTTGTTCAGGGTATTCTTACTGAGCGCTTTTCTGCTCATAACAACACATGAATGGTGCAGTCAAGTGACATTTAACATGCAGTGCATTTCAGTCAATATCAGCCAGTGGTGAAATGAGACAGTGTCTTTTCATAGCATGGATATCAACTGGGGGCTGTGATGGAGATGGATGGGAGGGTTCTGGGTAACTGATTACATACATACCATTTGCCAACCAGTTGTGGCTAACAGGTGTGTGTTACTTTTTAGGACTGCACATACACGTTTCAGTTCATTTGTTAAATGTTTATTTGTTTCTCAGTTTGATTAAATGTAACGGGCAAACAAAAGAAATGCCGAAACCTTTCCTCTTCCTTGAATTAAATAAATCAGGATAAAACAGTGGTCTGCCTCTGTTTCTTTTAGAATGAAGACTGCCAATGGGGATTACCGAAAAGAGCACAGAGAAAGAAGTCGGAGTCCAATAGAACGGGCTGCTGCACCAACAATGAGCCTCCATGCTAATCATATATATGCCTCAATCCCAAGTTTAACCATGGATCAACCTCTAGCACTGACCAAAAACAGCATGGATGCTACCAGGTCTGTGAGCATCACTCCTGCAATGACGTCGGTGGAACGGCAGCAGGTATTTGGACACACGTCCTTCAGCTGTGCATGCATTTAACACCCAAGTTTTTACACATTTTACGCTTGCTTAAAGTGTCTGTGCTCACATTCTTAACTTTCCTCGTTCCTTCTCATCTGTAACTTTGCAAGCACATTATTGCAGATTGCAGTTTTGCATATATTTTAATTGGTTGTAAGTCATTTTGAGTGTCAGAGATACATAGCAAAACACATGAAATAGACACATCTTGTATATCTGATTTAATGTTTTTCAACACTTGTTGATAAGTGGAAAACCGTATGTTTCCTCAAGAGGTGGGTCTGTCCGTCCATCTGTCCATCCTTTTTTTAGTTTTTGAAGACAAAAGAGACCAATGCTCTTAGAGGAGTAAAAGTAGGAGGGGAATTGTTGCCACTGTGGCCTCCAATCAGCCAGCTGTCTCAGCCACTGTATCTGCCTTTTAGAAGCACCAGATCCTTGCTGGTGAGTGATCTTTGGTTTTCCAAAGATCTGCACGAACAGGAGGAGGGAAGAAAACTTAAGATTGCAGGAGTTAAAATGACTGCGTGAAGGACTTTATGAATTGGAAAGAGTGAGGAATAACTTATTAGGTTAGAAGAGAAAATTCTAGCCTAATTAATCATCTCCTTGTTGCTATTTATGCATTTGAAATGTTTGTACACACTTCTAACTCAATTAGCTGAAGGCTGAATTAGTGCAGTTCAGAAATAGCTTTACTACTTGATGTGCTGTTGGTGTGGACCAGGCCAAAGTCATAGCTGCTGAGGAGAACAGCCCTGTCAGAGAAAGCTGCAGTGGTTTCACTCCTCCACAGACACGCTTTTCTGTGTCTCTCTTGGGCAAAAACAAGCAGGTGGCCAGTCTTTCAGGATCAAGGTGATTGGTGGAAGGGGCCTCTCCCCTGCTCCCCTCACCTGAATTCCAGTCAATTTGAGAACTCACCATCATCTGTTTGAATGAACGTTTGAGTTTGCCTGCAGCGTCATCAGTTACTTTGCTAGTGGTAGTTAGTAAAATCTTCAAAGAGCTGCTAGATGTTTAACGTCCATAGCAACTTTTTAAGAACTAACGATAACATAAGGTTTGAGCAATACTCTCTTGTTCACTGGGGGGGCATGAAAATGGCTATGAGAGAATATGATAAGAGAGGTGTCCAATCTTGTTTTGGTGGGAAAAGATCTGCCATGGCTTGCTGCTCACGGAAATTTGTTTCTTCCACACTGCAAAAGTCACCAGTCTTGTAGCGTGTATGTAGAGCCGCTTGGACTCTTCTCCCTTCATTGTGCTGACTGATGAGTCTTCCTTGGAACGGGGCATGGTTTCCTCTCCAGGCCCTCCTGTGTCTGTAGTATGATGCAAGCAGAGCAGGTGGAACAAATGCCAGCCCTCTTTTCCTGGACAGAAGTAAATGCTTTCCTAAAAATTAGTACCATGGAGGGCACTTTTGACTTTGTTCAGGAACATTCCTACAGTTGCAAATGAAACTCTCTTCCTGGCTTATGCTTTCTTGTGTTCATTTCTTGTGCCTCAAGCTGTTACTCCCACATTGCCGCTGTTCCAGGGTTTTAATGGTAGAAGGAAGCAGGATAGCTTCCAGAGCTACTTGTATACTAGAACTGGGATGATAGCAGGGTGATGCTTGCCATGTGCATTGAGATGCATGTTATACAAACAGGATTGTGCACGCTTTCTTCTGTCATGTATTCATTTAAGAACATTTCTTAAATAAATTGATTTCTTGCAATCAGTGTTAAAAATCCCAAAGTGGCTCACAATGTATTATAAATAAAACTGTATTAAATAAAGTCATGATAGCAGCTAGGTGAGTTAATGGTTGGGAAAAGCCCGGGTAAATGAATTTTTTGTTTTTAGCAGTCACTGAAAGCACGTGATGCTTGGTGCCTACTGCACTGCAGAAAGAAAGCCATTCCAGACGTTCCTCTTGTAAATTGAAGTAGTTTTCCGTGAGTTTGGGAAGCTCTTTGCCCAGCATTACTTGGGTTTCTCAGGTCCTTTTATTTTTATTTGGCATTTGATGGGTAATTCTTGCTTTCCAGACAGTGCTTATAGACTGGACTGGACAGGACTGGACTGGACTATCCTATAGGCTTACCTGGGATATGACCTGAACTCTTTTTATCTTGGATGTGCTTGTGTTACCAATTGCATAATCCATTGTACAAACCCAACTGCTCCTGTTCTGCATACAGCACCACCTCCTCTCCATCAGCGATGACAGACAAGGAAGGGAGAGGCTTGCACTGACGACATTGGGGTTCTTTGATAAACCTTACTATTGTTTCTCAGCTTGGCAGCCAGCTCTGCCACTCTCAGAGTAGCTCAGGACCTGTTTTTATTGGACTGTGCTCTGATGATTATGGCCAGATTTTTAAACGTTTTGTTGTATTTGGAGCATTGGTAGTGCTGTGTCTCAGGTCAGACGCTACAGTGAGACCTGCTGCTGTTCTCAGATGCTAACTGCATCTGTATTGGCGATTGTCGCATTCTTGATGTGCTGGGTTTACTTTTTAATGTGCAACTTGATTGTGATTGTGATTGTTTTTAGTCTTGCTTTATAATTAAGTACATGTCAGAAAAATCATTTGGAGGTGATTAATTCTACTGAAAATTACTTTTAAGTCTATTCAGAAAGAAGCGGGAAAGCCTCCATTTATTCTCTTGTGTTTGTATAACCTATACAAGATGGAAACTGGGTGCCTGCAGCTGTACTGCGTTTAACAGCCGAGTTGATGTCACTGATGCAACATGAGTCATGAGGGCTACCTTGCCAGTAGAGCCATGGCTGCCTGCAGGCTGGGTTGGAACGTTGGCGTGAGATTCCTTGTGCCCCGCAGTGGGAACCACCGTGCCGCTCAGTCCGCATAGAGCCTGTTCAATGTGTGTCTAGGTCATGTGGGAATTGCTTCTTCAGTTTTCTCTTAAGAGACAAATTGGCTGAACATGGTATGTGCTGTGTCCAGTCCTGTCACAAAGAATACAAAGGAATCAATTAGTGGGACCAATATTCCTTACTGTTCCTGCCTCCCCTTTGTTTCCATACGCTAGACATGTTTGACTTTCCTATCAGTTCAGAACAAACAGAAGCAGCCTGTTGCTTTTGTTTTTGGGTTGCTGAAACTTGCCTTGAATACCTTTGATCTTGCAGTAAAATACCACCTCTCCTTAGGTGCTTTGACTGAGCTTGTGCTTTAAACAATGAATTCTCTGCTGCTCGGTATGTCCAGGCAGCTTTTAGAGCTATGTATGGGAAGGCTGTTGAAAGGCCTGGGCTCTGGTTCTGACCAACCTCTTGATTATGAGCAGGTGTTTAAACTGCTCTTGAGAGCCAGGGCATTCCAGTTTGAGGTTAGACCAGGGTGAAAGTCACACACACAACAGCAGTGTGGTGCAAGATGTGGCTGTTGATCCTAGCAACCTGGAAGCCTCTTGACTGCCGGGCCAGGTTGGATGCTTTCACTAACCCTCTGCTGTACCTGAACCTGGAGTGTGAGGTTGGTGGGGCGTCTCCTGCTCTTTCTGTTCCCGAGCTTGGCCAAGGTGGGGGCAGGAAACAGCACTTGAGCCTCTCAACAGCTCAGGACTGAAGGGGGCACAGAGACAAGCTAAATGCGCCCCACCTCCCTCATTTTAGGGCAGAGCTGAAGGAAGGAGGAAGAGTAAGTGGAGGCTTGTGGTCTTCCTCTGCCTCTGTGCTTGGGGAGCCTGTCAGGAGCAAAGACGAAGCCCTCCTTTCCCCCAGAGCCCAGAGGTGACATGGTGAAGCAGCGAGAAAGCCTGCTCACTGAGCCCGGGCCCCTGTTGCCGTGGGGCAAGGGAATGCTGCTTAGTGCTCCATCTGCAGTGTGGGGAGGTCTTTGGGGCCCTCCAGGCTGTGGGCAGAGTGCAACGGGTGAACTGCAAAGGGCAGGTTCCGGGCCTGCATTTCTCCCCTCGATTGCCACGCTCACAGCAGGTGCAGCTGGCCATTTTCGGAACGGCTTAATCCTCGCATTGTTTGTATCTGTGAGCGCACAACCAAGAACAATGCATGTTCGCATTTGATGAATCATATGCTGTGTGACTCAGTGGCTGGCAATAAGTTAAAGTAAATGCAGACATTTAATACTTCATTATTGAATTTGAAATGTCGCTGAAGTCACTGTATCACATTTTATGAAAGCAGACCCGGGCATCGCTGTTTGGCAGAAATCATCCTTTTCCATTCTTCTCCCTTCCCTGTGATCTAGAACATCCTGCCCAAACTCCAAATGTTTTGGACCACAGATCCCACCTCACCATGGGATCAGCCATGCTGTGCAGGGCTGATGGGAACTGCAGTCCTGAGCATTTTGAGAGTAGCATATTGGCGAAGGCTGTTTTGCGACTTGCACAGGCGATTCCTGTGCTGAACAGTATTCTGATGTGGGGGAGCAGCTTGGTGACCTGCCTTTTGTCTGCCCTTCAGAACCGTCCCTCTGTAATCACATGTGCCTCTGCAAGCAACCGTAACTGTAATCTCTCACACTGTCCAATTGCACACAGTGGATGTGGCGCCGCCATACCAGCCAGTTATCGGAGACCATCTAGCAGTAAGTAGTACTTCGGCTTCGAGAGTTTCCTTTCCGAGGACTTGAAAGCTACGTAGGGCCATCAAATAACTGGAACATGTGTCATGCATTTACAGCAAAGTGGGGGAGGGGGGCTTGGGGGGAGGGGAGGGGGTATGTTAGGGTCAAATTAAATGTGTAATTGTGTACTGGAATAGAACTTTTATTGGGATCTTCCTCCCTGTTTTTGGCAGCAGAAAGCTTCAGTCATGCCAGCACATTTGAGCAAATGCTTTGAAGGAAAAAAGTTTAGGTTCCCTCGACAAAATTTTGGACTCTTTGTGTTTGGCAGCCATAGACCTGGTGTTGATTCGGCCTTATTTTCATATATCTAGTATGTCCTTTACTTTTTCTGGTTTTTCTAGTGCTACATAAGCCCCATATGTGGTGCAGTAAAGAGCCTCATTTTAGGTCCAGCCTGTTCAATAAATGCATATTTGCATAACGCAAATGCCTTGGTGATTGTGCTTAGCTTTCCTTGGGTTGGATGTAGAAAAACTAAATCATGCTCAGGTCTTGCTGATTCCATTCAGACCTAAAGCAGTTAATTCATTCTAGATACAGTCCCTTCAGCTTTCTTTGTAAAAGTACCAGCATTATGCAGAATCATATCTGAGTGGACAAGACAACATGCAATACCTTAATGACTTTTTTAAAAAAGTAAATATATAAAGCTAAGGATCGTGTGTAGTAAATTGGTTCCATTAGAGATTTAACATATCATATTTTTGTGTGTTGAAACCAGATACATACATTAAAAACAAACCCACCCCCCACCTGTACTCAGCTGTTTAGCATGGATTTTTGTGTTGTCTGAACCCAGCTATTCCCTCTGACAGATTATCAAGATAATGAAAGTAACTGAAAAGGGTGTTTGCAGAACTATTGCAAGTTTTGTTTAAAAAAAATCAGAATGTGAAGTTCGGAGTAACTGCATAGGAAAGCTAAAAGCATTTTTGGTCGTGCGGGTTTCTTTGCTGTAGGCTTCTTACCACTCTTCCTCCTTTCCCGATGCAGCTACCACTGCCTGTGACCCAGTGGTGGAAGAACACTTCCGAAGAAGCCTTGGCAAGAACTACAAGGAACCTGAGCCAGTGACAAACTCTGTATCCATCACAGGATCAGTTGATGACCACTTTGCCAAAGCACTCGGAGAGACATGGCTTCAGATTAAAGCTGCAAAGGACGGCGTGTCCAGCAGTCCCGAATCTGCCTCTCGGAGGGGCCAGTCATCTTCTCCCCCTTCCTCTCACATGGTCAACCATAACCATTCACCTTCCGTCGTCTCATGAAGAGGAGGACCACAGTTTCTTCACCCAAACGTGAATTTGCATGGTTTGACTGAGCTTGCGAAAGTGCTCAACAACAACATAGTGTTTGGGAGGGAGGCTATGAGAGGAGATTAGTCTGAACACACGTTTTGTGTGTATTTGCTTGTTTTTTGTTGTTTTTGTTTTAATATGTGTGTCCTTAAAAGATAGCAGGAACTATTCGATTAAAAATTAAATCCTAAGATGTAGCACTCTTTTTTTTTCCTGCCTCAGTTACCAAAGAAACCTCTGATGCAAATCTGCTGCCCCCTTTTCTTAAAAAACAAAACAAAACACAGAAACAAATTAATGAGCAAAAAAAGAAAAAAAGAAAAAAAAAGAAAGAAAAAAAAGAAAAAAAAAGCCATTCTGTACAGTTGGTTGACCCAAATGCTGTGTGCTTGGATTAGCTTCTTGAGAGTAGAATCGTGTCTGAATTTTGCTTCCGTTGCTTTTTTTCCCCCTTGTGAAGTACTTTTGTATGTATATACTTGAAAAGAACTGTCATGTATGATTTGCACTATTGGAGGAGGTCTAGAGTTGCATAGCAACTTCATGCACGATGCTTATATTCTGAGGGCAAACTGCTTGGGAAAAAAGTCTAAAGATACTGTCTGTCTCTCTCTCTAAAGTAAGAAAGCAATATTTGCTTAGGAAGGGGAAGTCTCATACAGGTTATCGGTCTTTCTCTCTTTAGATTTCAGGTGCTGAGTGCTTGCAACTGGACTGCAGAATTGACTGATAATGGGCATTTAAATTTCCTAACACTGCAGTTTGTTAGACTAGAGCTGAGTCAGAGGGTTCAATAGTGCTTAAAGATGCATGTTTTATGAAAAAATAGCTGGTATCTATTAATGTATAGACAGTAAAATATATAATACTTACTAGCCTTTGTTCAGAATTAGGTTTTTTTTTTCAGTAACAGTCCTAGATAGACTTACTGCTGGTACAGTTGTAAGCTGATACTTGTATTTGATACTCACTTTAGTAGCAGCCAGCAACCATGGACCGATGTTGCCTCAGGTCAGGCCTCAAATGAAGCAGTTTATATCCAGTGTTGTGAGCTAAGGATGCTGTAGTTGCAGTCATTACAGAATAAATAATTTACATTCACAGCATCAACTGCTTAATACAAATTTACTTACTGAAAAATTAAAAATATTATGTAAGCTAACTAGTTGTAAGAACTGCTATCATGGTAAATATTTTGCTTAAACAATAGATTGTGAAATGCAATCTTTAATTTTGAGGCTGCTTATAAATCTAGGCCAAGGCACCATACATTCCTCCATTTAAAAATGTTTATAAGATGTTAGTTGCATTTATTTCATTTGCTGTATTAATAGCCCACTAACTAGGTAATAGAGGCAGGCATAAAGAACAGACTCGTGTAATGAGCTTCTCAGCTTTTTGTTAAATGCAGCAACTCACCCCCCATATATATCTATATCTATATCTATATATCCCACACATTCCACATCCATCAGTACAGTTACAACAAGGCCTTTTGAGACGGGGTTGATTGAAAAGAGTGGCTCTATTAAGGAAGGTTATGAATAGGTGAAAGACAGAAGAAATACACGTGATGTATTCCGGACTGTTTCAGTATTGGGGCCATACCAGCTTTGGCATTTTTTAAATGTTAAAGCTATTGAATATGAAAAAGGTACAGGGTAGAAAAGACCAGCAAATTATCTGTTTTTTTCCCATACTGAGTGGGCTGCCTTTTTTTAAAGCAGGAAAAGGACAACAGAAGCTCCTCCCTCATCACAACTTTCACATATTTCAGTATCAGCGTTCTGGGTAGTCAGTCAGTGATCAGTCTCCTTGGCATTTGGTGCCCTACTCCCTGTAAGAAATTTGCAGAGAAACACACTTTTTTATATAGGTAACTTTAAGACCATCATTACGCTGTGCGTAAAGAATGTACAGAGAAATTTGTAGGTATTTTTTGAGGAACAATTAATTTGTTAATGATATGTAGCTATTTAATTTTTCCCTTTCCTTTATTGTAATCATTCTCTCTCTCTCTTTGTCTCTCTCTCTCTCTTTCTCTCTCAGTCTGTTTGGAGAAAAAAAGTTGATCTTTTTTTGTTTGTAGATGTCTGTAATACAGTAAAAGTGCAGGAACACAGTTATTCTATAAGAACACTGCATTAGCAATTAATAGCCACTAGTGTGTTGTTGCTACAGGCTACTGAGCGGTCTAACAGGAAAGTACTAATGACTGTAGATAGACTCTGTGGGATATGTAACTCCTTTGACCATGATTTGAAGCACAATAATACAACATTATACTTACTTATCTGTGATAGGTAAATAGATTTGTGGTGGGACAGAGATTAGCACCCCAGTCCTACCCACAAAAGCAATACCCATTTGGAAACAACTCTGCATTGATTTTGGTGGAACGTGCATCACAGTAGGCACAGTGTGTCGTGTCCTGTGTGTAATCATTTGAGAGAAAAATACCCCATGGGAAATCCAGTTACCTTGTGCAAATGAAAGGGGTTAGGGTGGGAAGAGGAGGTGGGACATTAACTGTACTGTTACATAAAATTTTTCACAGAGCCATGCTATCTACAGTTCAGCTTGAATGCTCTCCATGTTTGTAAATCTGTAATATATCATTCTTTTGTGGCCTTGTTGCACCTGGCAATTTTTAAAAAAGGTTTGGCAGGCCATCTTTTTTTGTACTTAAAAGTAGCCTTAATGAACAATAAAGTGCTCTTAAATCTTACAGAGTTGAGTATGTGGTGTTTGAATTTCTTTATTGCAAAGGTATTTTAATTAATACCACTATCACCAATCCATGCTGGGGGGAAAAAAGCCAGTTTCCTAAGCAAGATACTTGCTCCAAATGATCTGCACAGTCTTTACCTACCAGTGATGCACTAATTACTGTGCTGTTTAAATGGAAACCTAGTAAACATCTTAACATCAGAGACACAAGAGGCCAGCAGTCTTTTTCCAATGGCAATTGCCGGGATATTCCCTATTAAGAGAGCATTGCCATATGCAGCTGTTGCATTTGCAACTGAGCTAATACTGGCCATTCTTGTGCCAGCCGAGAGAGTGGCTCTGCCGTACATTTGTTCAATGTAAGGAATAAAAGATCATTGTAGCTTTTTCAGTTTTCACGTGCCACAGAGCAGCTGCCTCTGCACTGCTGCTACAAGATGCACAATGGCTGGCTGACTATTATCTGGCCGTGGGAGCTATTTAGAGCTTCTGCGTTGGACAACTGCCTTTACGTGGCAAGGAGAAATTCTTGCTTTGCATATGAAGCAAAAGTTCCTGCTAATGTAGAATATTAATTTTATTAACTCATTTGAAGTTAATAAAAAACAAACCTCCAAATGGGAAGCAGCTGCTCCCCAGTTGAGCATCAACATCAAGAAAGCTCACACAAGTCTGGCTAGATGTTTTAGAGCATAGGTAGGCAACCTGGTGTCCTCCAGGTGCTTTGGACACAACTCCCAAAATTCCTGACTCCTGGGCAGAATGGATAAGGCATACGGAAGCTGTACGGAATCATCAGGGAGGCTCCAAGTTGCCTGCCCAGCTTTTGATCCAAGAGCAGGAAGCCAAGCACCAGACAGCGGCCACAACAGGTCATGCAGCACAGCCTTCCCCGACCCAGCACATGCCCAAGTGGCTTGCGTACACCTCTCGTGATCTCCAACTAGTTGCAGCCGAACTCGTCCGGAGAGTGTTGGTTGGGAGATGATGTCCCAGCAGGCCATCTTGATGGAAACTAAATGTGGAAACCTCCTGACTGCAGACCCCATGCAAGCACAGAGTCTGTATGTGTGACGCAGAGAGACACCAAAGAAGAACTTTGAGTTGCTCACACAGACTGTGACTAGAACTTAGAATGAGTAAAGAAAGGAAACTAAATGCATGAAGAGATGCAGCGAGTACATTCAACATAGGATCGTACATATATTGGAAAGCCCATGTGCGAAAAGATACACATGAAGTCTGCATGCACACGAACTCTTAAGTGTAGCAGAAAGAGCATAACAAAGTGTTGGTCAAGGATAAAATTGATCAACAATAAATCATAGAATACTATGCAACTATTCCAGGGCTTTCTATTTCAGCGGCTTAGTTTTCCCATAAAGCAGATGAGGGATCACATGGGTCTGTATTCCCCTATTTATGCTACAGGTGGAAGCAAAGATGATAAAATGGAGCTAAAGGGCAGAGTTAGCCAAGAGCTGTGTTTGTGCATTCTTGTCTCTCATGTCCCTTCATTTTGAGGATTTCCTAGCTCAAAGCTGAGGAAGGGGCACACAAAGAATGTTTTACACAATCATTTCCACTCCTAATCTTCTCCACTTAGGATGGGAAAGATATACAGAGAGAGTGTGTAAGCGTGCATAGAAGGGTATATACAAGGATTCTTTTTTCCTCTCCCACTTTGCTTTATCCCGCTGGAAAATCTCTCCCCCTCCTCTAATTGCCTCACTAGTATGACTGGTTGCCAGCCAAGGGTTTAAGACTTTGATCTGGGCTACAGCGATACCCTGAGAATTTCTAGTTGCATTTAGTTAATGGCCTGATCTGAAGACTTCCTGAATATAAGTGGTGAGCATGGTGAGTATAAATCGGATAAAGCAGCAGTTCCACCAGTTTAAGCCTCAAAGTATGATGCAACAGTGCTTTCGGTGAGCAATAAACAGCCAGCTAGATGTCTAGAGTAGTAGGGAATGATCCTAAATAAACATCTCAGTCCTGGCCAAATGGCTTGTAAAGAACAACCTTTCAGACACACAAGCAGAAGTTCCCTTCGAACAACAACAATCTAATAGAGTGTCTAGAGTCTCTAATTGCATCACTTTGAGTATTTATATTCAGCCGACCAATCGCTCTGTTAGTTGCAACAGGCGTGGGAGGCATTCTAAATGTCATTCTGGTTGTTCACTTAGAACAGAAGTCAAAAAGTAGCATTTCTCCTACAATGGGCCGCATTAAATTTATGACAAAGCTGTTACACAAGTGCAGCATGAACACAGTTCATGGTTGACACAAGATCATATCAGGCGCTTCCATGTGACGCATGATTGGTCACACTGTCTGTTGTTGGCCTGTCACTTCAGTTGTCACGCTGATTATGTTATAAAGTGCCCTTCGTAAACTTCAAGCAGGATATCTGTCATCTTGTGTGGAAAAAAAAAGGAAAGTGTGTACATGCACAATTCCATTTGCATCCCCTTATTCTTGTGGCACAGACGGCGCTAATGCTGAGCCTCTCCTGCTTCTGCAATTCTGACACAAGTGTAAAGGGTCCATGGAGCAGCAGAGGCGTCGCAGAAGCTCGAGCTGGCTGGTGCCACATCAAGGGGTCAGGATGGAAGGATCGACACACTTCACACCCGTAAAAGTGCTCGGGCATCACATGCAGGCTCAACATGGTGTGACTGCAACTGCTGTTGATGCCAGGCATGTGGGAATGCTCAAGGTTCACCCAGGTTCCAATAGCTCAACAGGGAGGGAAAAAAGCCCATTTAAAAAAAAAAAACCAGGAGCATTGTGATTCTAAATCACACTACTCCCACAGTGTTGCTTTCCTTCAGGTCGGGGGACCTTTCTTCTTATAAGGCAGACTGACCACAGTAGTGGCACAGCAGACCTATGCAGTTGTAGTAAAAAAGGTATCCCAGAATGACAATATCTAGTACTGTCTGGTATGAATGAATCAGGCAGGAAAAGCCCAAGCGCACAGACAAGACATTTCATCCCTCCTGGAACCAATTCATTTCTTCAGCTGTGAGTCATCCGGCAATGAGTGCATGCATATTTGAAGCAACTCCAACATACCTGGCTCGGTTGCTGAACATAATTCTGGCCTGCTGGCTACGTCATGTGCAAAGGCCATGGAGAGCATGCATCTCATAATGCTCAAGGACTGTCCCAGATTGTCGCACACTTCTTTGTGCTGACAGCAGGAGCGGCTCTGGGGCTGTCTTTCGGCTCCCCGGCCTTCCAAGGGTGCCCCTGAATACTGCTAGCACAGGATTCAGACAAAGCAAGCCACGGCTTGAAAGCTACATGTGGCCGTCTTGGCCATGCCATGCTTTTTTGCCTTCTCTGGTCTTGCCCCTGCTGCCCGGCACCGTGAGAAGGCAGGGAGAACGGGCAGCTGAGCTTGAGGCCAGGAGCTGTAGGCATGGACAAGGCCATCACGACAGACTGAACCCAGAACTGGCCACAGGGCTGATGAACCCACTGTGGAACTGGGAGAAAACTCTGTGGCAGTGGTGATGCAGACCCAAGATGACAAAGGGGAGGGGAGGTGCTTGGGCTAATAGAGAGATCCTTATGCCCACTTGCAAAGAGATACCAGGTGAGACCAAATGAGGATGAATCATGTTTGTGCACAGGTCTTAAGGAGAAAGGGTGGATGTTAGCAGTAAATGCAGAAAAGGCCTGAGAACCTAGTGCCAAATGAGGCATATGTTCATGGCAATGTGGGGATGAACTTGTAGATGTTCTCCAGACTGGCAGCTGAAAATCAAGTCTCATTCCAGAATGATGCACAGAACCCACCTTATAACTCTGTTAACCCTCCTTAGCTCTGTTAAAAAGAAGGGCTGCTGCACGGAAAGAGTATGGCTCAGACTGCCCAGGACAGACCACTGCTCTTCTTTCCCACGGGGTTGCTGCATGCGCCTCTTTTACTTTTGCCCACATCAGTGCGTGGCAGCCATTAACCCTTCTAGGGTAGGCCAAGCGCAGCATCTTATCATTTCTTTTAAAAGTATGTTTCGGCCACCTTCGTAGTCATTCAGGATGGAGGCAACACCTGCCCATGGGTGGCCCAACCCTCCCCAGGAAAGCCCCACATGCTGCCGGCAGGGTTCCTGCCCAGCCTGGCACACTGGCAGGCCTTTTGCTAGAACAGAAAACTGATGGCTTCAAGAAATTCCAGTCACAAGTTACATTTTAATGCAGCTAGTTATTTGAGGCTATTTCTCATCATAGTCTCAACCATAACAGCCAAGTGCAGTCATTCCATGAGACAGCTAAATTAAGAAACAGTTCTCGACTCTTGGCACAAGTACTGGAACTTCAGCTGCAGCAGAGACAAGCTGCCTTTGTACACGGTATTTTATCGCATGATGGTGTTTGTTCCACTCCTCCCCCATCCCACTGAACAAGCCGGTTGTTAAGTCTCTGCAGCTCAAGCACAATTGGAAGGGATCATCACAACTGTGTGCACAGTCCGCAGAGAATGGTGAAGGGCTGTTTCTTCACAACTGAGTCACGCATACGAACTGCTCCAGCCAAACCATTTCACCCACAGGGCTGCCATCTGTCTGATCTAGCATAAAGCATCGACGCCTCCCCCCCCCCCACCCCAAATGGTTTGCTCCATACCTAAAAGGAAACTCGATTAAAAAGCCAGGCGCTCTCAGTGTTCTTGAGTGTATTCAAGAGGCTGGTTTTCAGCAGTGAGGGATAGACACCCTGCTGCCCGCCAGCACCAAGAGCGGCTGAGACACGATGCCCTGCTTGCCGACCTCTCCAGTAGCTGGAGAAGGCCCGGGGCACTTGCACACCCTTCGTGATGGCCCCGTCCTGGCATTGCGGTGGCAGCAGGCCCAGTCTCAAACAGCCAGCCCTTGTCCTGCTACGTGGCTCATCCCATGACAGGCAAGGTGGAAGGAAGGGGTTGACAGGGAGCTTGCGGCCACCTCTGTGGGGAAGCAGACTTTTCGTTTTCAGCTTGCA